GTGTATACTATTGTATAAAATTTGTTTATTATTTAAAGACATATTAAACATAAGTGAGAGGAAAAATATTGTGTAAATTGTCTTAGACCTACCTATTGTTTTGGGCCCAGTATTATTTTATTTCAATTTTTTGACAACTTTTGTTGTTTTCTTTTTTTTATGAGGTGGTATATATAATATTTTAAACTCTGAAAGCTTGATGTTTTCCCTCAGAGATAGATATCTCTGTAAGTACTGATGCAGTTCCACCTTTAGAGGCCACCATCGCTCTGTTTCCAGGCGACAAAGAAAGAAAACTCCAGACAGTTTCGTGTTTTCCTGAGAAACCTGAACGCAGCACGCGGATGGTTGCAAGGACGAAACATGATGAAAATGAACAACGATCACAAATAGACCCGTAAGACTGTCAGTTCATACGTTCACGCACAGACACGGGGTTAAATTGCATGTATCGACAATGTTATTGATAGAAAACCGTACTTTATTGAACACGGTGTTTGTTTTTAAGCAACGATGGGTGCTAGTTTGGTTGCCCTGTTAGCTTCGGTAGCTAAACGAATGTTAGCTGCTTCAGCTAATGTTTATGGTGTGGTTATGTTTATGTTTATAACCTCAGACTACATCGTGTTGTGTTTGCGTTTTTAACACAGACGTTGAAATGAATGCATTCGTGTGTCAGTCCTTCACGCCCACTCAATACTCGGAACCTCGGCTCAGTTATTTAAACAGGGCCTTTGTTTCTGTTTCTTCCTGTGCAAAGCTGCAGGCACTGCTTCATAATGTGCAGAATAAAGGAAATATAGGTCTAGTGTTGTAACTAAAGCTGTGCTGTGATTAAAGGATATTATTGTGTACGCTGCTTGGTTTAGACATGGTTGCATTTTTCTGAACAGCCTCTGGGAGGCGCTGTTTTGTGTTGACCTGAGTTTTGTGGGGTTTTCAAGAGGTTTTATCTGTAAAAAACTCAATTCTGAGCTAATTGTTGTCCTGAATGGCTACGAACAAAATGAAAAGTTGTTAAAAAAATTGAGCATATGTTCTATATTTCTTCCAGATATGACCATGAAACGTTCAGAAAACATTTTAATGAATGTTCAAAAGGCTTTTCAGTGGCTTGAAAAATAGAAATCAGTTCATTTTTAATAATTTACTATACTTAACACAATAAGAAAAAAATGTACCAATAGTTCTTGGCCCGTTAAATTCCCTTCTAATTTGTTC